CAATTATAACCCAGCTTAGAAACTCCATTTTGCGCCTTCCCTTCAATTAAACAGGACTTCCCTTTGTTGCTTTTCGAGTTTTAGGATTATGCACATTTTGGATAAAGGTTTACCAGTTCTCCACTTTGCGCAGCCCTTGGTATCGCCGCCATCCCCGCACTTTGGCATTTGGCTAGATTTATTTGGGTATCGCTAGTCGGGGAGTCGGACTCGCGCCATTGCGATGGCATCTTCCAATCTGGGTGTTCTGAGGCGGAGATCCCGCACACCGGTCGATATCGCAAGCACGCCCGAGAAACGAATGGGCAAGGAAACGAGGGAAGCATGGGAGGATTTCCTCGAGCACCTGGACCTTGCTTTGAATCCTTGTCATCCGCAGCCCCAGTTTCATTCTCCCAGGTTGACTCCCCAATTGGCATGCGACTCGCGGAAACACTTGCGACACACTTGCGTGCCAGAGCCATGTTTGGTCAATTCATGCGCCAAGTAGCATTTGTTTCATGAGAATTTACTTTTTAGGAAGGCCATGTTAGTGGCATACAACAAATCGGACAAGTTTGGGGGGGCCATCCACTCGATAAGTGAGAAAAGGTTCTTTTGTTCAGAGCCCCGCAAGTCCAGCGCGATGGGCCAGGCTGCCGCTGAAGCCTGAGGTGGAGGACAACCAGTTTTCAGACGTGCCCTGCGCACCTTCCTTAGGCCGCAGGGAACACGTGGCGCGCTCGCTGGGTGCCCGCCGGATTTTACTAACATATGGGAGGTTCCTTTTTGTTAGACTATTAGAGACCGCCTCTTTGGCCATTCCCGTTTAAACGGAGTCTTTATTTAAAGGGGTGTACTTTAGTCGAGATGGGATTCTTGTTTGGGGGTGTGGGGCGATCCCCTAAAAAAAACTCACCTGCCCAAAGCGAGTCGACCCAAATCCTATTTGATCCATCGCGGGTGGTTTCCCAGCACAACCGTTCGTACCTTCAAATAGAGAACCCAATGTCAGAACCACCCAAACCTTCCGAATTGTGTAGTGGCGCCTGTTCCCTTTTCGTTTGGTGGGTTCCCACAAATTGTCAAACTTGGTTTCTTGGTCTAATTATCCTGGTCACTGAAGAACTCCGCACTCTGCGTGGGCGGGTCACTTGCAAACCGCTCGGACTGGTGGATTTGCTCGGAAGGTGCCATGTAATGTTGCCCCTGGTTTAACAGTGGAAATCCGAATTGTGTCAAATTTCCCCGGCTTAAGCACGACCCCCCCCCCCCCCGCCACTGTTTCGGTACCATGATTTATGTCAAGTTCAGACCCAAAAAGTTCCCGGCACAAAACATCTGAGCAACATGCGCAATATGGGCAAACGATTTCTCCTCTCAGCTTCCTGCTTCAGTCTTAGCAGGGTCTCCAAGCTTTTCCTCAGTGTTGACATAGTTCCAAGGAGCACAGCCTGACTGCCACCTGCACTTGCTGCAAACACAGCTGCTGTGCTGCCTGTTCTGAGACGTCATTTCAAAGTGAACCTGAGGCTGTTTTTCCTGATCGCAGCCTCAGCTATTGCTGAAGACTTGTTTTTGGTTGCTTCAAGTTTCTCCTCGGCTGCTGCTTAGGTACGAAGGCCTGGATAAATCTGCAATGGGACAGACGGACAGCTGACCAAAAGGTCTCCTTGAAGGGCTTAAAGACAGAGGGGCTGAGCAAATGGCTGCAGAAAGCACCCACCCACTCAGTCTCAAAACCAATCAGAAAAACAGGTTTCAAATTGCAGAAGACTCTAAGAGATGCCACTCCGAGCAAGGAACCTTGAGCTGCTTGATCTGAGCCATGCTGAGAGCCTCGGATTGCTGACGGCGGCCTCCATCGACATGTCCATTCCCTTAATGCCTCGCATGCCTTTCCTCAGTGCAGCTTAGAAGCACAGCCCAAGGAGCGTGATATGAGAAGCCAAAGTTGAAGCTCTCAATTCAAGAGAGCTTGGGCCTTGCACATAACTGAGGAGCTAGGCCCCTGACAACCTAAGCTGGCAATACTAAGCTAAGTGGCCATCCAAAAGGAAGTGCTGGCAATACTAAACCCAAGTAGTGGCAAGTCAAAGGAAGTGCTGGCAATGCTAAACAAAGTGGCAATCCAAAAGGAACTGCTAAAAATACTAAACTAAGAGGCAACCCAAAAAGAAGTGTTGGCAATACTAAACCAAGTAGCGGCGACCCAAAAGAAGTGCTGGCAATACTAAACTAAGTAGTGGCAACCCAAAAGAAACTGCTGGCAATACTAAACTAAGTAGTGGCCATACTACAAAAGTCATCCAAGCTCCTTGCCAGATCCGTATTCAGGATCCTTTAGCACTGTTGTGACTGTTGGGGGGGGCCCCACGGTAAACAAGGTCCAACACAAAGGGGCAGGTTTGCAACCGGTGCGAAGCACTGAGAATAACATGGAAGCCAGAAACCAAACTGTTTGGGGGGCTAGCGGGTTGGGCTAGCGGGGAGGTTTTCTAGTTGGGCCCTGCCGTGACATATGATATGGGTGTGATCCCCTTGATGTTTAGGGTTAGGGGACTGCACCCAGCGAATCGTGCAGTTTCGGCTAGGCATCGACCTTGCCAACCTCAAGACCCCACGCAGCTCCTACTACACCTGGAAATATCCCACTGGACTGCCCGAGGGCGCCCTGGTGACTCGGCGATAGCGCCTGCTTTTTTCAGTCTTCTTAAAACGTTCCCCCAGAAGGGCGGCTCGCCTATATATCTTTGTGTGACATTGAGGGGTGTGAATACTTACGTGGGTGTGTGGTCCGTTTCATGCAGGTTGGGGTGCCGGAGTTGCCTTTGGATAAGATCACGGAGAGGGCGAACTTTTGCTTGCGATCGCTTTCAATAAATCAAGCTTTGCCAATGAATCAGTCAATCCTGACATATTGGCTTGAAATTAGTTCGGTCGCCGTGGAATGCGAGGTGTGGTCTCTTTTGCTCCACTTTGCTGGCTGTGGCACCGCTACCATGTTTTTCAAGACTGCAGAACTGACATACTATATTTTGGCTTTGGGGGAGACAATGAGGGAAGGGTCAAATTCAATCATTCTAGGCTACATGTTCAATACCCGAACTGTGGATCAATCTTTGGCTCTTCTAGTTATAAAAGCCGATAGAGTAGACACAGAGGCTAAGAGATTGCTAAATGAGTGCAGTGCGCTGAAAGAGTGGGAATATATTTTTTTCTGCTGAATGTGCTGGGCATCCAACGCGAACTCTTGCAATATGCCGCGATGAATATGCTACAGTTGCAAGGTCGCCTCCTCCCACATGATGTTGCTATGAGTCTTTGGTTGGGAACACCCTCACAATTCGGGACGTGAACCCGAATGGAAGTGATTTCCTCCAACATGTCCCTATTTGATAGATCCATTTGAATGGGAAAGCCCCGGTGTCCAACTCCAAAAAGCAAGTGTCCCTAGTATCCCCCAGGTTATGGTTACGTGTCCTGAAGTATTAATTTGTATTTGAGCTGAGGTCCGATGGTACTTTTGCCAGGTCACTTTGTCCAGGTCATGTGGGCTTGTAAAGCTTGCTAGAAGAAAAGGACTGCCATGCATTCCAACCCTTGATTTTACCTGGGTTTGGCGCCTTCTGACTGTTGTCTTGCGTTTCAATCCGCTGCCATGTCTCTTTTTTCAGGCGCCACCCAACCGGCAAATGCATGACCGCTTCCTGGAGAAGCTTGGGGAGTTTCAGAAGGTGGTCGAAGCTCCTCGGGACTTGCAAGTTGCAACGCTTCGACCAGCCTGCCCACGTGTTTGAGTCTTCTCCGAGATTCTTCAGATTTTGAGGTTGACTACATATGAAAAAGGTGAACAAAGCTAGGTAAGCAAACAATCCCAGTTGGTAAGTCCGCCAAATAGGATGCATGCGTCCTACAGTCCAGTTCAGGGACCTCTTTGGACATTATTTTGAAATTAAAGGTTCACTTAATTTGGACCGACATCAAGCATGTGAGTCTTGATTGCGCACCTGATGCCAAGTTTCAGTAAAGAAGGACACCCACACACGAGTTTAGTTGGATTTCGAGAGCTGAGGGACTCGGGAAGCCGTCAATCATCTTGGTTGGTGAGTCCCTCACTATAGGATGACCACCCACTTCTTGCACCTCTTTCCACATGATTTTGGATTTTAAATCCACAAGATGTGAACGATATGCTGCTCCAAGGTAGGGTTTACCCTTAACTCACTCAGGGGACTTACCATCTCATCACTTTACATGGAACCTACCTGACAGGGCGTCCCTTTAGAAGGATTATTTTTTAGGACCCCAGTGCCAAGGATTACCCCTGTTTCATAGACCCTCAGAGGGACCCTTAGCACAGTTGTTTTTTTGGGGGACCCTGAACAATGATTTGGGGGGGGGAAAGTCGGGCTTCCACTGGCAAGCTGGGCCTTGGAAGTTGGCTAACGCTCACTAGGAAATCCTGCAGAGAAATAGGGCATTAAAACCACAATAAGAAGACAAAACACAAAACGCCATGTGGCTAGATGGACGTCAGCTGTTTGGGGATGGAGGTGCCGGAACCCTGCCCAGCTGGAGAAGCAAAAGGTGATTTGAACCACGGCAGCTCAACAGTATTGAGCCAAGGGGTTGCTTAACGCTTCTTCCCCTCCTTCCGATTGGCCTTGAGCCAAGAAAGTGAGGAGATTTACACGAGTCGTTTGCTCGCGGAGAACGGGGTTGCCTTCAGTTTGGCGAAATGGGACTCTCCCCAGCTACGATTAAGATTTGCAGTTGAACGCTCATGAATAGGTGCGGCTTGGTGCGGCCGCCCTTTTGTTTCTTCACATAGTATATCATAGGTAGGCATATGCCTTGATTGCGACTCTCCTGAAAGAAAGGCATGTCAGTTTGTGGAGCTCTTTCTTTGCCGAAAAGCCGAGGCACAACCCCAGCGCTTGAAGCGCGAGATCTTTTCTCGACGTTTGGAGGACTTCGAGTCGGAAGGTGCTCGCGAAGCACGCTGTTACAGGCTTTGAGTCGATTCGGTCGATGGATCCGACAAGTTGCTCTGGCCTTTTTAGACTTGACACCCATGACCAAGCCGGTTGAACATCAAACAGTGGCCTTGTGCTTCTCGTGGCCGGGCAACTCACTAAATTCCTCTTTAAGAGTCACCAGCCAGCATCCGGTGTAGGGCTCTCAGGTACTGAGACGCTTGGAAGGCCATACCCTGCACTGTTGCCGGCGGCACCTCGAAAAGAGCCTACTGCCCGACTTAAAGCACTGCCATGTGCACAGCGCTTTGTTTTGGCTGTGGAATCAGTCGCATCCACAGCTGGAGATTGAGCATGGAGCAAATATCATGCAGGACGGTACAGGATGGTATGCCTGGTAGAGGTTTGAGGTTGGACCTCACAGAGGGGGGGTGCAACCTCAGCCATGATGATGGAACCCGTTTTGGGGATGTGCAGTATTAGATGCTCGATTAATCTGATTTGTCTAGAGGAATTTCTAGGTTTCCGCTTGACTGAGCAACATCCGGCACCAGTTGGCATGAATGAATTCCGTATGAAAACTGGGCTAAAGACTGATAAAGCATTTGCCAAATGGTGCATGATGGAGTCGGATTTCTGTGCATCCACAGTACTTAAAGTCTGAATGCTCCGATTCACCGTCACCAGGCATACACTCACAATAAATTGCTCAAGTTTGGGCTTTGATCCACTCCGCTTTGCTCGACGAAGCTGCATGCATCGCCATCAATCCTGGGAATACCTACGTGCACCTACGCGCCTAGGGACGTGCCACAATAGATCGCTCTGAGCTGAGGATATTACCCCACATGTGGGATGTGTAAGGGGTATGTAAGGGCATATGACAACGTGATTGAGCCCTTGCAATGTGCCCTACACGGATGCATGCTTCATGTTGCACGCATGGTTGTTAGTCGAAAAGTCTGCTGGGTGTGCAATCGCAAAGTGTATGTGTGGTTGTTGCGGATGGATGTCCTTGGCGCCCTCTTAAGCGAAAGTTGGTTTACGCCCATGTCAGCTAGTTGGATATAGCGGACACCACGCAGACGTTTATCCGATCGTTTGCAGAGTGTCGCGCGGTCGCGCACACACACACACACACATATATATATATATTAACACATGCATATATCTATCTATCTATCTATCTATCTATCTATCTATCTATCTGTCTGTCTGTCTGTCTGTCTGTCTGTCTGTCTGTCTGTCTATCTATCTATCTATCTATCTATCTTTCTATAGATATTCACACATACATATATATATACATATATAGAAGTAGTTATATATGTATATACATTCACACTAAATGTAAACACACATATGCCCCCACGTCCATGCATATATATATATATATGTATACAAGCACGCAATGCTTTTGCTCTTGGCCTCTCGCTCGCACACATGCGCACAGTACATTCAAAGTGTGCGGCACCTAGTTGCGCAGGACAGTATTCGCACGGAAAGCTCGATATGTGATTTTGCGTTTTGGGCATTGCGCGGAGTGGCTCAACATGCCAGCTCGTGGCACGCAACAGTATTGTTGGTGACCGAGTTCTGCCGCGCCGATGCGCAGATGGTGCAGAACTGCAAGAATACTCTGCAGCCTTGGCGAGATAGCACTGCTCATGCAGGGTACTGAGAACACCTATTGCAACCAATAGCCTCCACAATTCATGGAGCTGGCAAGGCTTGGAACCCTCGCTCGTTGTTCTGTTGTTTCCGTGATAGCACTGATGCCTTCGCATTCTGAATTGTGCATGTCCATTTGCCCATCAATTCCCAATTGCGTGGCAAACCTGTGATTTCATTGGTATTCGATATCGCCGCGCAGCAAAATGGACTTTGAGCCGAGCATTTGTGTCAATCTGGTTCGGATTGTAGATGACAACAGTAAATCGCACGGCCCGGTGTGGGCATGAGGTCAACCTTTGGGTTGTTTCTCCAGTGGCGCAACGGGCGACCTAACGGAATTGTTTTTGAACGGCACGCGCAAAGTTGGCAATGGAGCTTGGGCAGTTTCCTGCTTACGTGTCAAGTTGCAAGATTATGTTTCAAGGTTTCCATGCGAGCCTCTACAAACGGCCCGCTTCCTTTTGCCCCTCAACGCCATCGATTCAGCCCAACATTAACTTTGCGCCCCCACGCTGCAAGTATATTCCACTTTCCGACGTGCAGGCCAAACAACCCCAATTGTGTTTTGAACTTGATAACTTGTCAGGGTAGCGCACAGAGTGTCGCATGCGGGGCCTGCATTGTACCTGAATGTCGTCAGCGACCCTGGGCCGTCGCGCCTCACTCCTTGCATGATTGGCGACGGTGCTGTTGGCTCGAATTCAACTGGCGGGCGTGTAGAATTGTTTAAGCTCAAGCGGGTGGAAGCAGTCTCTTTGGCAAGGCCTTGGTGCCCGGAGTTAGTGCGAAGCAATATTCACTGTCGAACATGTAGTGGGAACGATTGGAACAAGTCTTTGAGACTTCTCTTGTGTTGACTTGTCGGCCATTGGCTGAAGTTTCAGATGCTTCATTCTCCGGTGTCAGTAGCAATCACGATGGCCATTTTCTTGTCAAATAGATATCGTTTTCTTGGTTTATATTTGCGCTTTGGGGATGACCCACTCCAGACCACCAATCCAAAGCACCAAGTAAATGTAGCTGGAGGTTGAATGGTTTGCGGGCCTGAGCAAAGTGCGCTGGCTGCGGGGGGTCATTTGGCATGGCATCCAGTTGGATCAGGGTGGATCTCGGAAGACAATCAGTCAGTTGAGCAAACGTTGTGGGACGGTTCAGGGACCTGACCATCCCCCCAAAAAGAAACCTCACCCCAGATGCATTTACAGGTCCAAAGGCTACGTACGGCCAAAAAGGCCACATAAGGCCAAGTGAAATGGGGCATGGGACTTCGGACAAGCGGACAAACTTTGCTGCATCAAAAACTCATCGCTGCTCGGTGATACAGAGACAGTGCCTCTGTTTCGGAATGCAGAATGAGAAACCCAGAGAACTTCCTAGTTTCCCTCAGTAAATATCCGCAATCCCGGGACACGTCTGGGGCTGGAACCGCCCTGCGAGCCTCCGCCTGCTCAGTTTGCACTCCTTCCATGCGGGAAGGTTTTATCCCTCCAGCCTGAAACTGGCAAGTGTCCCCACTCTGGAGATAGACCCAGAATTTCATGCGGCGTTGCGGGCTGTGCGGCTGCTTGGCTATCGATGATATGAGGCGATGGCCGAGCTGCTTCTGAAAGCATGTACATAGATATACATATGGGGGGTAGTATATGTATATATACAGTTTGTTTGTTGTTTTAAATGTTCCTGCTTATTTACGTTTGTCTTTCGTCGTGCTTGCTTTGTTGCTAGCTCGTTCACTCGTTCGCTTCCTCGCTTGCTTGTTTTCATGCTTGGTTGATTGCTTGCTTGCTTGCTTGCTTGCTTGCCTTGCTTGCTTGCTTGCTCGCTCGGTCGCATTTATTGTTTATGTCTGTGTCAATTATTTGTTTATGCATGTGATTACTTGTTATTGATGTCTTCATGCTTGTTTAATTTATTTACTTGCTTTGTTTATGTATTACTGTTGGTGTCACACACCCCTAAGGAGGGCTATGGGGAGTGCGGGCTATCCCTTCATAGGCCCCTGAATATGGCCCTGTTCAGAGCTTATCCTTGGCTTTTCCTGGGCTTATCCTGGCATACCCCCCACCCTTTTTGGAGTCCATGATTTTGCATTGCTTTCTTTATGGTGTTGTTTCTCTTGCGTTTCGTTGTGCTGTATTCTTGCATTATGTATTTGTGTTTGTCTTTCTGTCTTTGTTTCTTTCTGTTGTTGCTTTCGGTCGTTCTTCATGTATTCATTCCCGTGTCTGCATAACTATATATATATATATATTTGTTGTTTCATTTATTTGGTTATTGTCTTACTTATGTTGTTTATGTATTTCTTTTGTTCGGTGATTTCTTCACTTAGTTATCATATTTCGTTATGGTGTGTTGTATTCATGTCTTTATTGATTGCTTTTGTCTATTTTTGTTGTTTTTATTCCCTCCTTTCGTGTTTATTATTTGATTGTTGCGTAGTTCTCTCTCTCTCTCTCTCTTTTTCTCCCTCTCTTTCTCTGTATTTCTGGCCCGCTCTCTTTTCTTCTCTCTCTCTCTCTCTCCTGGTCGTGATCGTTCAGGCAATGTTTCTCATGTCTGTGTCTTTATATTTACATCTATATTTTACTAATGCTAGATGTATTCATTTTTCTCTGTCTATGACTCTTTATCCGTCTCTTTACTTCTCTCTGTCTCTCTCTCTCTCTCTGTCTTTGTAACGATCACTGTTTGGTGGTGGCATCTAGTACGTTTGCAAGGTGGTGGTGAAACATATGAACTTCCGGGATGAAAGATGGCCCAGAGGTCGGGATCTTGCCGCCAGCTGTGACTCGCGTCTGACAAGATGTTGCCGGCGACGTTTGACTTTTCTCGCCAGCGACAAACCTTACTTTGCGGCACCACTCTGCGAGCGGGCAGGCGGACATTGAGCGGACTGTGTGTGGCTCATGTATCGCTGTCGGCTTGTAAGTTGACAGCTAAACAGGCCATACACAATGCAAGGAATGCTAAGCAAGCAAGCAAAACAGACCCTCTACTTAACTGGATAAGGGCAGCGTGATCAAGGAGGCGCACCTTTCGTTTGGACTCGTATTGTGCGTGACATTTGCGATCTACTGAGTTTGTTCACCACCGGCCATTCAATGAAAAAATCTGAGACGGTGCATGGCGTTGATTTGCGCTGATTCTGTTATTATCAGTCCTTATGTGGGGTGCAACAACTCCTCCTTGAGCCAACAAAAAGCTGGAAGCCAGACCGATCAATGGTTGAACAGCCTCGTAAAAGAAAAAAGTTGCAAGGATGTGAGTGCTTAGCATTTCTCTTGAAGCTACATCCTTCATCGGAGTCCTAGAGGCCGGGCATGCTCTATGTTGATCGCGGAATTGCAGGTAGCAGCTACGTAGCTACG